TCTATAACAGGGCAATCTGCAATACCCACCTGCACCAAATTTCCCTGCTGTTTTTCTGTGAGAAGGTGTGTGTACGTATTCTCACGCTTTTCAAGTGCGCCTGAGAGAAGCACGCACAAAATGGCCTGCACTCTCCCGCCTGCTGATAGTGCCATCCTCCAGCAGAAGCACCAGTCCTATGCATTCGAGTCAAGGTTTTGTCAGAAAAGGTTCTATTTCATACATAAAAAACAACAAAAAAATTAATTGTAACTGAATTCTTCAGCTTGGTCTTTCAGTAAAAGCTATTTTCTGAAGGAATGGCTTTAGTTACTGACTGCTCATCAGGTCAAGCTCACTGTTTACAACAAACTTAAACGTCTCATCAAACTCTTACGAATAGTGAGAATGTGGCAGCTGTGCTTTTGTTTGGAGAGGTATGTGTTTTCTACGATTTGTGTTTAAGTAAAAGGCAAAGCTGTAATAATTACAGGACTCATTGCAACTCTCAAAAAACCTAATTGACAAGAATCATAGAATCGTAGAACCGTCGTCTAGGTTGGAAGGGACCTTTAAGATCATAAAGTCCAACCATCAACCTAGCACAGCCAAAAGCACCAGTAAACCATGTCCCTAAGCACCATATCTACCCATTTTTTAGATACCTCCAAGGATGGTGGCTCAACCAGTTCCCCAGGCAGCTTGTTCCAATGGTTGATAACACTTTCAGTGAAGAAATTTTTCCTAATATCCAATCTAAACCTCCCCTGGTGCAACTTGAGGTTGTTTCCTCTTGTCCTGTCACTTGTCACCTGGAAGAAGAGACCAACCCCCACCTCGCTACAACCTCATTTCAGGTAGTTGTAGAGAGTGATAAGGTCTCCCCTCAGCCTCCTCGTCTCCAGGCTAAACAACCCCAGTTCCCTCAGACGCTCCTCATAAGACTTGCTCTCTAAACCCTTCACCAGCTTCATTGCCCTTCTCTGGACATGCTCCAGGATCTCACCGTCTTTCTTCTAGTGAGGGGCCCAAAACTGAACATAGTTCTAGAGAGGTTATTTGGTCCAGCTCTCCTCTTTAGTGAATGTTGTTTTCAAGAGCCCAGAGCCCCAGAGACCCATTGTCTGCAATCAGATGTGTGACTACAGCCTGCGCTGCTCTATCCTTTCTGCAGTAAGGCTGTGTGATAAGAGCACCGACAGCTAAGTACCAGAGGCATCAGCAACAGCTGCGCTAGTGTAGTTTAGAAGGTGGGCATCTCAGCAGAGTATGTACTATAGAAAATGAGAAAAGCATGTCACTCATTATCAAAATAATTATAAAAAGGTGATAATACTTTTTTATGTCGGGAAACAAACAAACAAAAAGGACATTACTTGTAAAAGACCTCATAACTTTCTTCTTTCCTTTTTGATCTTGTTTGTGCTCAACCTGATTTGCCAGATTTGCCATGCAGCAATCCCACAAGCTCAGAGTTGGTATCAAATCAAGATTGAAATGGTTTATTGACTTAATAACACCACATGATTAACCAGTGATCAGTGAACTACGCATTCAGGATCAGAATCAGTAATACAACAGGTAAATTACAATCTTGGACACTTATAAAATATTAGCAAACACAAATTTGTAGATATCTTTCTATAACTTACCCCCCAGAAGTGATAAATTTTCCCACGTCTACCAGCAGACCCCCCTCTCCCAGACACGGGGGTTCCCTGACGTGCTGATGTCTGCAACCTGGCACTCCAATATTTTGCTGGACTATCTCCAGTACGTCCCTGTCTTTCTCATACCAGGGAGTCTAGCACTGGGCACGTCACCCAGATGCGTCTCATCGGTGCTGAGCAGAGGAGCAGGACCACCTCCCTTGACCTGCTGGTAATGCTCTGCCTGATGTGCCCAAGGAGGCCGTTGGTTTTCCTCAAACTAAGAATGACAAAGAACAATCTTAGTGATGTTAAAAAAGTTCTGCTGGGTTTGGACCTCACTGTCTCCAACTAAAAGCTGCCCCTAAGCATCTACAAACAAATATACAGGATTTTTCAGACTCTTCGTCTATGCTACTGCATTTTCACTGTTATTCCTTCCTGTGCTAGGGAACCAAGGTCAATGCAGGCTTGCTCTAAGTGCAGCAGCTACACTCTTTATTGTCAGTTTTTGAAAGTACTTGCTGTTTTAAGCTAAAATGCTTAATTTTCAGCCAATGTTACTGGTTTTCTAACACATGATCCTTTCTGCCAAGTCTGCTGTGGGATGGAAATGGCAGAACAGATGTGAGGACAAGAGGTAGATTCTTATCTTTAGTGTGATATTCTAAAGATAGCACAGTAACATCCTTAATTTGGTGCCTCAGTGGTGACCGAGCTATTTTCCAAATCTGCGGTAGTTAAGTACATGGTGCAGCCTCATGTTTTAGAGTTGTAATGTCCTGTAATGTTTGTTGCTCAGTACCAATGCTCTGGTCCTTCCGGCCAAAGCAGAGCTGGCCTTCAGCTGCAAAATGATTTGCCAGTCTCAGCCCATAATGTGATAGATAACATCGCTGCATAAACAACATGATTGATAAACGCTTCTTGGGAGACTTTGAATTTAAAATTAAGAGCTCTGAAAATAGAAGCCAAAGCAGCTACTGGGTAAAGTCTCAGCCATGTTTCCCCATGGGCATTTCTAGGAAACTTTATCTCCAGAGCTGCTGAAAGGAGTGAATCAACTGATACATCCCAGAACATTTCTCTCGTTCTTTTCAGTCCTTCATAAAAAAGCACAGGCTGCAATAAAAGCAGCCTTTCCCTAAAGAGAATCAATCAGCTATCAAACTGCATTTCCTTTCTCAAACAGAGATCAGATGCTGTACAAGAAAGCACAAAAGACATTACAAAACAGCCTTCCCACAATGAAAGCTTCTTCCTAATTCTCTATAATTAGAATGACTTTTGAATGAGAAACAGCCTGTACAATTTGTGCAGCCTGAGAGACTTCCTGCTCCAAGGAGCTATGGAATAATAACCCAGAGTGGGCTGCATCAAACCTTCCCCTGCAGAATTAATTTTGTCTCTTGGACATCAATGAGAGTTTTGTGATGGATTCATAGAGTAGTTGGGCAGAGGCGAACACAGTCATAACACAGTTTGCTCTTGGTCTAACTGAGGCTGACCTACGAATTTTCACACCTAGACAGTTTCTGGTAGAGCAAGACACGCTTTTTCGGTCTCCAGTGTTTTCCCTTGGCTTCCTTCTGACCCTGGTGACAGCTGCATGTCCTGCATTGGTCCCAAACCCAAATGCTGACTGACGCCAGCTGGCAAATCAGGAGTTTCATGCTGAAATGCTACTCAATTTGCATCAACATTGGAGCCTTTGAAAATTTTGCTTGCTGTATTATGTTTGCACCACCATTTATAGGGAATGGGAGGAAAAGACACTGTTGTTTCAAAACAAGTATTATTCAATGTTTATTAAAAACAGGCTATTTCACCCATTCATATACCCTCAAAGGCAGTTTAAGCCTTCTCTAGACATAAATGCCTTATACAACTAAATAATCCACAGTTAATAGATGTTTCTTTTTAGTGAGTATTTTGAATTAGTGCCAAATGTAAAGAATGTCTGTACTTATGTTGCCCAAAAGAAATGTGAAATGAGAGAGCTTTGTGATTTTTTTTTTAATTTAACCTGCTAGTTGAGTTATATGCATACTGTGGCAATGCCATAGTCTGGGACAGTGAAATTATATTAAAGAAAAGCTTTGTTTGCTAAGAATGATATTAGGCCACTGGAGACATAAGTGATGGGAAAATTGACCGAAAATACCTCTGATTATTTTAATTTTGTACTTTGATTACTGCATTAGACCAAGCTTCCAGTCCAACAAGTGCTCATTTTGCCTTCAGAACAAAAGATTTTGATGAAGGATTTTTCTAATAATGAGTCATTGAAGATTATTATTTTTAAAAAAAATCTGTCCCACTTGCTGATTTTAATGGGAGACAGAAATGAGTAGCTTTTTATCTTTTACCATTTCTGTTGCTTCTGATATCCACCAGTGACTTTACTTGAGCACAAAAACTGCTTAGCTATGCAAATAAGTTATGGGACTCAAAACACATAGAGAAGACATAGTTTAAGCTGTGGTCCTCAGAGTAACAAGTTACAACAAGGTAACACAAGATAACACAGGAATGAGCTAATGCCAACAGGGACGAATCACTTCTTGACTAGGGGGATGGGAGCAGGGGGAAGTGTGCTTGCCAGAAGGTAACCTAAAGTAACCTAAGACTAATTAGCCTGGTGAAAATCATACCCCTTGGAGGAGACCTTATATGCTGATGTCAGACCATTTGTATAATGAACTAGCCACTAATCAGAGCATGCGCAGGAGGGCATCAATTATATAATCAAAAGGTGACCAATGACCAAATTTTGTGTAACTTTTTCTTTGTTGTAAACTGTATAAAAACCTACAACCCCTCTGAAGACGTGTGCTGGCTTTGTGAACTATCGCCTGGCACCCCTTTCTGTACAGAACTGCATTACAGGTTAGAAGGTGGATCTTGTGCTCACTGACTCCTGCAGACCAGGCACAAACCTAAACCCTGATTAAGGGACAACAAAACGAAGTTTGTAACTTACTCCTATGCTGCAAAGGCTCCAGCAACTTCTAGAGCAACTGCAAAGGATGGTCTACATTATGGCACCTACTTCATGACTATTTTATCCTTTGCTGTAGTTCTTGCATGTGCTTAATACTTTCACCGATCTCCTGATACCCACCATGTACCTGGTAGCCCTTTGCTTCTTTTCAAATGAGGAAATTCTGCCCCCTGCAGGGTCTAGTAACATCTTGTTCATGCAAATGGAGTAGAAGACAGGGATAAGAAAGAGGGTCACCATGAAGGTTGTTAGAGGAATGTCATCCTAAATTTCATTTCCTTAGACTTTTCAGCTTTTCTTAATGTCTTTGACTTTTGTTCTTCCAATGCAAAAACAAATCTAGATCTTCAAAATTCAAAACAATGTGGCAGTTTTCACTACGACTTTATTATTATACATTAGCAAGGACGTAAGATTCATAGACAAGTGTTTGCGTCACTGTTTTACTTTGATGGGCCCATTGTTTCCCATCTCACCCACCACGATCCAGCTCTGGAAGCAGGTTTCAGAGCTCCTTGAGAGACACAATATTATGAATTCTGCCTTTTGTATACAATGATAATCTCAGTCTGTTCATTTAAGTAAAACTCCAGCTGGAAAAGCAAATACACTATGTGGCAAATAATAAAAAAAAAAAGAAATGCTTAATACTACATTTTTGAAGTAGTCTATTTTCTGTACAAGGCTAAATAACTTAAAAGTCAAAACCAAAAATCATCTGCTCCACTGCTCCTTGTACTTGCTCTCTCTCTGCTTTTTAACCGTAACATGTCTAGGACACTGCGGGCATATATGTCTCGCAAATTAACATTGATATTTGAATCGCTGGATGAGTTCTTCGTGAGTTTCTTTAAAGCTTCACGCTGCCGAAGAGCAGCTTCTTTTATCTTCAGTGTAAAGTAACAGGCAGAAAAACGGTCATTTATTATAGCTATTGGCAAAGCCAAAACCAGTATTCCTGATAGTATACAGATAAAGGCCACTACCTTACCAATGGTAGTGTCTGGTCTAATGTCACCGTAACCAACAGTTGTCATGGAAGTTGTCGCCCACCACCAAGCACCAGGCACGCTTGTGAAAGTTGTGCCCGGCACGCCTTGCTCAACAAAGTACTCCACAGTGGAAAATATAGAGATTCCCACAGAGAGGAAAAGCAGCAAAAGGCCAACCTCCTCGTAGCACTGGGCGATAGTCATCCCAAGAGACCGCAAGCCTGAAAGACAAGAAATGTTGTCAGTAGGCTGATTCACGTAGCTGCCATCACAACTTCACAAAACATCTCGTATTTGAAAGCTGACTGCCTTATGTTTTACTAGCTGACTGCTAGTGAACATGCCTTAAGAAAAAGGGGTGCTGCTCTCAACATGACTGGGAGAACATGATTTAAAGAAATAGATTAAAATGTCAGACTGAACCACTGGCATCACTGTTTCCTTAATACAGAGCACAGAAATTTGCCTCATTACTTATTGTTTGAAATACGTATGCATATGATTTAGAAAAACAAACCAATCTTGATTTAGTAATTGGCTATAACAGAAGATCCAGCACATTTTTTAATAAGTTATCTAAATAACCATCGTTGTGATTTAACCCCAGCCAGCAATTAGGACCACACAGCTGCTCACTCAATCCCTGCTTCACTTTGGACCAAGCAACCCTTAGTTACCAAATCTGTGTTCCCAGGGTGCCTAAAGCCCAATTCAGTCACTCAGTACCTTTTCCTTTGCTTGGGACTGTTTTCAATCCTTTTATAGCTCTCATAGCCTCTCTTTGACCTCTCTTACCCCCCCCCCCAACCTATCAATATCTTTATCTGTAGACATCAAAACAAATGCAGCATTCCAGCAGCAGCTGCATTTGTGCCAAAACTGGAGATAGCAAAGCCTCCCAATGCAGACATGATATTTTCCTGTTAATTCACCGATATACTGTGTCAGTCCTATTGCCCATGAGCTGCACAGAGAGTTTGTATAGAGCTGACCGGTCTCCATAACCCCCTCATTCCTTTTAGAGCTGCTGCCTCAAAGTTAGACTGCCCGACAAAGCAAGCAGGAAAGTAAATCCAATAACAATGCAATGGATAAATGTTGTACATATAAACAAAGAAGGAAGATAACAGGGTACCAACTCAGCTGAGACACATAGGAGACTGAAATTATCTTTTGAATCACAAGTGATTTTGGACGGGTTTTTAATGCTCTTCTTTAAAAATGTACCATGTTTTCTTTAATAGATGAGAAAAACACAATGCTTATGAATTACCCTTCATGGGGTATGCTTCTATCTAAACCAGTGTTTGCAAAATAGCTTATTGGAGCTCTGCCTCTGCTTGCAGACTTCATATGCTCATTAGGGTAACAAGCAATTTGATTTGTTTTTCTTTCCTCAATCTCAAACTACAGGATGTTAACATTTATTCTTGCTTTTGGCTCTTTCTTTTCTCCTTCAGGTCTAATGCTTTAGATTTTAGGTTTTAAAGATTTTATTTATGTACAGCAAACGGTGGAAGTACACACTAGAGTTTACAGGGAGTGTTTCCTTTTTCAATGTTTTCTTCTAAGAACTCCATTTAAGGAGTTGCCCATATCCAGGCTTTATATCACTATAACTATGATCTGTTGGTTAGAAGGTTTATTACAATTATATAATTTAAATCTAGAACACAAAGGGAATACAATATATCAGTGCAATCTTTTCTCTGTTAATATGACTGCCTCCACATTTTCAAAATGCACTAAGGTAAGCAGTGTAAAAGCTGTGTGAGACAATTGCAAGGATCCAGATCAAACACTTATCTTCCAAGGAAGTTACTATCATCAATTG